CCCCCCCGGCCCGGGGGTGTCCGGGAGCCCTTGCTGGGGGGGGGGGGGCACCGCTGCCGGTCACAGGAGAGAACTCCTTGCCGGAGGGACTCCGCGCCAGGCCAGGCCAGACCCCCTGTTCCGAACCCTCCGAAGCGAGCCCAGGGCAGGCACGCTCACCTACCTATAATCCTGGATTTGTTCCTGGATCTCCGGCATGACCGCCTCCTGGACCTCCGAGAAGGCGCTCCGAGGGTCCTCCCCATTCCGCAGGCGAGACTCTGGGGGAACCATTCCAGGGAGGGGAGGGAAGGGAAGGGAAGGGGGGGCGTTAAGGAGCCTGCCCGGAGGGGCCCGTCCCCTCTGTAGCTTCCGGGAGGAGGAGGAGGCCTGGCCAAGACCTCCTCCTCATTCCCAGGGTCCTTTTGGCACGTCTGTGGCCCCACCCCCCACCACGCTGCTGGAGCCAGGTAGGACGCGCATCGCCCCTCTGGGCTCCTCCCTTTGGACTGCGCAGGACTGGGAGGGGCGCTCAAGGCTGGGGGTGAAGGAGGCGCAGCTGTGAGCGGGAGCGCGTTCACTTCTGCCCGCCCTCCAAACGGCTCAGAGCACCTTATCTGGGGCCACCCGCTCCCTCCGCCCCAGGACTGGCCAGCCTGACCCCTGCCGAGCATGTGCAACCCCCCACCCCACCCCCGCAATCCATTGTCCTCGGAGGCCACTCCAGCGGCCGAGCTCTGCCTGCCCCCCCCCCAATCCCATCTGCTCTCAGAACTGCAGGGACCTTTGCCGTGGGGGCCCAATCCAGCCCCATCGCCGGACACACGGGAGGGGGCAGAACTGCTCTCTCCCCCCCGCCGCCCCTGCCCCTACCCCCTCAGCCACACACAACAGCCGTCAGCTGCTAAGCGTCAAGCGGTGTGTAGGCTGCATTCCCACACAGGACTCAACATACCTATTTCAGCCAGCAACTGCTCAGGGACTTTCACTCTCAGAAGCTAGAGGAAGGGAAAGAACACATCCATCGGGGAAGAGGCAGGGAAGAGGTTTTTATAACCCACTCTCCTCTGTTCTCAGGCACCTCGAAGCGGCTTACAATCACCTTTCCCGTCCAGTTTGGTGTCGTGGTTAAGTGGGCGGACTCTAATCTGGGAGAACCGGGTTCGATTCCCAACTCCTCCACTCACAGCTGCTGGATGACCTTGGGCAAGCCGTAGTTCTGACAAGAGCTGTTCTCTCAAGGGCAGTCCTCAAAAGAGCTCTCTCAGCCCCACCCACCTCACAGGGTGTCTGTTGTGGGGAGGGGGAAGGAAAAGGAGTTTGTGAGCCGCTCTGAGACTCTGACGGAAGGGCAGGGGATAAATCCAATCTCCTTCTCCTCTCCCCACAACAGGCCCCTTGGGAGGCAGGTGGGGCTGAGAGAGCTCTGAGAGAGAGAACTGGGACTGGCCCAAGGTCCCCCAGCAGCAGGTTCCATGTTGGGGGGGGGGAGTGGAGAATCCAACCTCCCGGCTCTCCAGACCAGAATCTGCCCCTCTTAACCCCCCCCCCCGCTGCCACCGACCACCACCCCGCTGGCCCTCCACTGGACGGGTGAGGAGCGGAGCCCCCGTGGTATCGGGCAGCCCCGGCTCTTGGCTGGGCCCAGCTGGGGGAGGCTTCCAGGCCCCTCTTTTGGGACACCCCACCCCCACACATTCAGCTCCAGAGGGAGCGTGGGTCCCCATTTCTGCCCAGTGGAGAGGCCAGGGCCCCAGCCTCCCGCCTGCTCCTACCGCACTCTTGTCCAAGAAGATATTCCAGACGTCCTTGCTGAGCCCGCGCGCCTCCTTGGGGTTCATCTGCTGGCAGACATCGGCGCACAAGTACAGGAGCTGCAGGCAGAGAGAGGGAGAGAGCCCGGGGGGGGAGGGAGGGAGGAAGGAAGAGCAGGAGACGTAAGAGAGGCCGGCAGGTTGCGAAAGGGCCGGGGGAAGAGGAAGTGGGCGAGGACGGGCTCCTTTACACCAAGGTACGGCAGCCAGGCACCAAGGCACGGGCCAGGCCGAGCATTCGTTCCCGTGGCGTTCACACTCTGGCTTTTCTGTGAGCCGGAGGCTGAAAAACTGTGAGCTAGCTCACACTGACTCAGCTTGGAGGGAGCACTGGTCCCACCCAGCTGCCCCAAAGGCCCTTCGGCATCCGGGGCTTTCCCACATCTTCAAGCCCCGATGTCTGCTCAGGAACATCTGCAAGCGCCCCGTCAGGGACCAAGGAGGTGCCAGCTGGTCTGGTCTTTCGGGGGGCACCCCTCCACGCTAGCCCAGCCCTCCGTTCCTGCCACGCGGTGCCCGGCTCTTGCCATTCACACCCCATCCTTGGCCCGCTGGCAGGATCCACAGAGGCGGAGGGAGGCGTGCCTGCTGGGCCCGCGTTCTGCCAGGCCCACCCAGGCCAAAGGCAGCAATGCCGCTCTGCCAGCTCGTACCAGAGGACTCGGATCCGCCTGAGAAAAGATGTAGCGCAGGAAAACCCCGAGGTGGGCCGGCCGGGACTTCAGCCTCCCCAGGTCCTGGAAGAGGGCGTCGCACTAGGGCGGGAAAAGACCGGGCCGAGATCAGAGCCGGGGAAAGGGGGGAGAGAGGCCCGCCCGCCCCCCACACCCCGGCCCAGGACAGCCAAGGCTCTCCCCCCCCCTGGCATCTCCAGGCACCCACCTCGTTGTTATTAAAGTGTCCCGGATCACAATCCTCCTCCGGACCGATGATGAGCGGCCTGAGAGCACCTCCGTCCGTGCCCTGCAGAGGGGAACGGAGACAGGAAACGGAAGAATATGAGAACATAAGAGAGAAGCCAATGTTGGATCAGGCCACTGGCCCATCCCAGCCCAACACTCTGTCTGTCACACAGTGGCCAAAAACACCAGGGGCCATCAGGAGGTCCAGCAGTGGAGCCAGGACACTAGAAGCCCCTCCCACTGTTGCCCCCTCCCTCAAGCACCAAGAAGACAGGGCATCCCTTGCCCCAGACCGAGAGTTCCAATCTCTACCTTGTGGCTAATAGAGGAAGAAACCTTCTGTGTGGACACAGTTCCAAACACAGCACCTTCTCCCTTCCTGGGCCGTTTTCGACTTTCTTCCCCCTTGTGTAAGCTCGATGGGTCGCCGTGTTTGTCTGTCTGCAGCATCAGAAAAAAGCAAGAGAGTCCAGGAGCACCTCCTCTCCGGTGTCCTCACGGCCTGCGGTGCTCCGAATAGAAGCCCAGCCCTCTCCCAGCAGACTCACCGGCTCCGTCGCAGGGGAGAAAGGGCAGTCGGCGCTGGGGCCCCAGGGGTGCTGGAAGGCCTTGGCAGGGAGGGCCGGGGAGGGGTGGGGGGGGCTGTCCACACCAGGGTCGTTTTCCCCGGCAGCCCTCACCTCGCTCACGGAAGGGAAGCGCTCGGGACCCGAGTCCAAGCCGCTGTCACCATCCTGGGAGTCCACGGACGGGCACCCTGCAGGGGCAGATGTGAGGAAGAGAGGAAATGCCGGGAAAGGCTCCGCAGGGAGACAAGAAGGGCTGGTTTTGGCACCCAGGGAGCAAGCTGGGGCCGTTTGCACTCCCCCACTTCAGGCCACGGGAGAGTACTGCCCACAGACAAACACACACACCCCGGAAAACAGCCCAAGCCACGCCTTCTCCTCCCATCCTTGCTTGGGGGGGGGGGCATTCTTCGTCAGCAATGCTCCCTCTAAGTCCTGGGAGCAAAAATTCTCCTTTGTGAGCTACCGGCATTGAAGTTGTGAGCGAGCAATTTGGCTTCTGCATGAATTAGTTCGCTCTTCTGGAGCCCCCTCCTCCCTGAGCTAAGCCAAAAATGTGTGAGCCAGAGGCTAGAAAACTGAGAGCTGGCTCACACAGACTCAGCTTGGAGGGAACACTGGCCACAGGCTGAAAGCCTATCCCGACTCCAAGCACCTTTTCCAACCAATGTTCCCTCTAAGGTGAGTCAGTGTGAGCTAGCTCACAGTGTTATAGCCTCCGGCTCACACATCTTTGCCTTAGCTCAGGAAGGATGGGGCTCCAGAAGAGCAAACTAATTTATGCAGTAGCCGAATCGCTCACTCACGACAAAGTAGAATTTTCGCTCACAAGACTCCACAGCTTAGACGGAACACTGCAGGCAGTGTTCCCTCTCAGCTGAGTTAGTGTGAGCGAGCTCACAGTTTTTTAGCCTCCGGCTCACACATCTTTGCCTTAGCTCAGGAAGGATGGGGCTCCAGAAGAGCAAACTAATTTATGCAGTAGCCGAATCGCTCACTCACGACAAAGTAGAATTTTCGCTCACAAGACTCCACAGCTTAGACGGAACACTGCAGGCAGTGTTCCCTCTCAGCTGAGTTAGTGTGAGCGAGCTCACAGTTTTTTAGCCTCCGGCTCACACATCTTTGCCTTAGCTCAGGAAGGATGGGGCTCCAGAAGAGCAAACTAATTTATGCAGTAGCCGAATCGCTCACTCACGACAAAGTAGAATTTTCGCTCACAAGACTCTCCACAGCTGAGAGGGGAAGCCTTGTGTCCAACCCCAGCAAGCCCACCCAGCAGCAGCCCGTGGCACACACCCGACACAGAAGCACCCCCCACCCCCCGTGGCCCAACTCACCATCAGCTGCGCGGGAACCGACAGAGCCAGAATCGCCAGGCTGCAAGGGGGAAAGGCCGAGAGGTCAGCGCCACGGTCCCTCCTGCCGGGCGAGGGGGTGCCAGAGAGCAACAGGGGCCACAGCACACACGGGGGCCCCAGGAGGCCCCTCCCCTTTGGAGCCTCCCCGCCTGCCCTTCCGCACACCGCCTCCGCAAGACAACCCGAGGGGGCTCAGCCTCACTGCCTGGTGCCCCGGAAGGTCCGGGAAGAGCCCCGCCCTGCCTGCATCCTTACAGAGACTGCCTGTTCCCCCCAGCGAGGACCCAGACCTGCCTGCCACAAAAGGCCCGTTTTTGGACCATTTATGCTGCTCCCGTCAAAGGCATCGCCTGCAGACTCTCCCCCCCCCCGCCCCCGCCCCTGGGCTGACACTGGGGGCAGCCGAAGCACCCCCTTTAGCAGCCTCCTGTTCATTTCCTTTATTCCTGGTCTGCCTCTCTCACCGGGAGGCAGGGCGGATGACGCACAGCGCGAATCAACGTGATCGAGCAGCACGGCGCATCTCACGAGCAACGCAATGAGACTAGGATTGCAAAAACTAGAAACGACGCAAAAAGCGTCGGACGCGATACGCTGTAAACAGTGCACGGATAAGTTAACTTTGTTATTACAAGGCAAAAGAGAAGATACTTTCAAGAAAACGTGGTCAGGACTTTATAAATGGACTGAGAACTATCTTAAATTATTCATATTATAACCGTTAGAAAATACAATCAGAAATAGAAATTGCAGTAATTATATGTGCGTGTATAAAGAGCAGAGCAGGTGCAAAAAGGCACAACTGTTGAATAAAAAGAAAAACTCTAAGTACTACGGCTGGATTGTACTCCTGATAATTGTTTTGTCTGCTTTTTGGTGTGGTTTTCTCGATGTTTGTGATATATGTTGATAAACAATAAAAATTATTTATATATAAAGAGAAAAAAGAAAACGGGGCAGGCAGAGCAGGGAAACGACCCGCTCAGTCCGCCCCTCCTGCAGGGGGGGGGGGTTCCTCCTAGAGAGCCAGAGAGTTTCCGGGAGGAAAGTCAAGAAGACGGCACTCCCCACCACTCTGCCTGACCTACCGGCAGAGGAAACAGGGTTCTGCCCTTGAGCTGTGGGTGGACAATCCACCCCCGCAAGCCTGGGCTCCCGGGAGAAAGGTCCCGCAGAAGACCACCTCTCCCTCCTATTGACTGGCCCCAAGAGATCCTGCTCAGAGACTCCGGGGCGGACCCCACCCCACTATAGGCTAACCCTAACCCTAACTGGAGATGCCGGGGACTGAACCTGGGACCTTCCGCATGCCAAGCAGAGGCTCTACCACTGAGCCACAGCCCCTCTTTACAGCTCTCCAGGGTCTCAGGCGGAGGTCTTTCCCATCACCTGCAGCCTGGTCCTTTTTAACTGGAGATGCCGGGGATTAAACCTGGGACCTTCTGCATGCCAAGCAGAGGCTCTTCCACTGAGCCACAGCCCCTCTTTACAGCTCTCCAGGGTCTCAGGCGGAGGTCTTTCCCATCACCTCCTGCCTGGTCCTTTTAACTGGAGATGCCAGGAACTGAACCTGGGGCCTTCTGCATGCCAGGCAGAGGCTCTTCCACTGAGCCACAGCCCCTCTACTGAGCCACAGCCCCTCTTTACATCTCTCCAGGGTCCAAGGCTTGTGCGGATCCCCCCCCCCAACCACGCGTGGGCGAGTCGCCTCCGGGAGCGTCCCGAGAGTGCGACCGCCATTTGTGCCGCCAAAACCGGAACCTGCCTGGTCCTTTCAACTGGAGATGCTGCCGGGGACTGAACCTGGGACCTCCTGCATGCCAAGCAGAGCCTCTGCCACTGAGCCACGGCCCCTCTCCATTCATTGCACAAGACAACTGGACCAGAGTTGCAAAAGATGGAGCCGGGCTCCTCCTGACTGACTTACCACTGAGACCCCCGTCTCCTGCCTGATCTTCAGCTGCAACTGGCTGACCCTCCGTCGAGCCCCTTCTATCTGCTCCTCAATAGGGGAGGCTGGGTTCCGGCTGTAGACCTCGTAAAAGTGCTGCGGAAGAACAAGGAGAACCAGCGTTCAGCAGCTCCTCTCTGGCGACCACAACAGGTGGCCTTTGACCACCAGGATCGGAGACTGTCTTGAACAGCCAGCAGCCCATCGCCCTCCCATGGCAGAACTCAAGAGGCACCCGCTCCATTCTGTCCACGCCCTTTGTGAAGGGAGGCCTCCAGAACGGCACACAAGACTCCAGGTGCGGCCTGACCGGATGCCGAGTGCACAGCGGGACTTATGGCCACCAGTGTCCCCTCTAAGCTGAGCTAGTGTGAGCTGGCTCACAGTTTTTTAGCCTCTGGCTCACCCATTTTTGTCTTAGCTCAGGAAGGATGGGGCTCCAGAGCAAACTGTTTTATGCAGCAGCCCAATCGCTCGCCCACAACTTGAATGCCAGTAGCCCACAAAGTAGAACTTGTGCTCACAAGGAGACTCCACAGCTTAGAGGGAGCATTATTTATTTTATTTGTGTTTATTTTATTAGATTTATATACCTCCCTCCCCAAACGGGCTCAGGGCGATGTACAGCGACTAAAATAACACAATTAAAATAATATTAAAATAACAATTTACACATAGTAATATCATATCATAAAATACCGTGTAAACAGAGAGATCAGATGTCAAAGCAATTCAATATCTAATCAGATGTCCACTCAGGATCAGGCCACTGATGGACGATTGGCCAAAAAAAGCTGGGGGGGATGGGGGGGACAACGTCCACTGCCTCAACCAAATGCCCGGTGGAAGAGCTCCGTCTTGCAGGCCCTGCAGAACTGTGATAAGTCCCGCAGGGCCCTGATCTCATCGGGGAGCTCCTTCCACCAGGCAGGGGCCAGGGCTGAAAAGACCCCGGGGCCCTGGTCGAGGCCAGCCGGACATCTTGAGACTGGGATGTGAAGCCTCTGTTGAGGCACCCCAGGATCGCAAAGCAGATCGGCTGGCAGCAGTGCTTCCCTCAGGTGCCCGGAGTGCCAGGCAAAAGTGCCCCTGCCAGCGGAATGGGGGTGCCGGATCCAGCCCAAAGGCCCCTCACCCAAATCAAGTCACAATCAGTGTTCCCTCTCAGCTGAGTCAGTGTGAGCTAGCTCAACAGTTTCCTAGCCTCTGGCGGACACTTTTTTGTCTTAGCTCAGGGAGGAGGGCTCCAGAGCAGACTAAGTTATGCAGGAGCCAAATGGCTGGCTCACAACTTTGATGCCAGGAGCTCACAAAGTAGGGTTTTTGCTCACAAGACTCTCCACAGCTTAGAGGGAGCCTTGGTCACAGGAACAGAGAGAGGAAGACGAGTGGAAATGGGTGGCTGAAGTCCAGAGGACTTCTGGGGGTCTTGCCCCTTTCTCCCCGCACTGCAACATGCTGCTTCTCAGAATGGAGACATGTCCTTCGACATTCTCTAGCTCACAGGAGCATCTACCTGTGCACAGCCTGGGGCTGCTGGTAGAGTGGCAAGAGCCAGGAAGCCCTTCTTCACCCAAAGAGTGATGAACACGTGGAATTCCCTCTGCCACAGGAGGGGGCTTCTCTTATGTTCTTATGTTAAGAGCAGAGGTCCATCCAGTGGCTATTAGCCACAAGGTACAGATAGGAACTCTCGGTCCGGGGCAAGGGATGCTCTGTCTTCTTGGTGCATGGGGTGGGGGGCAACAGTGGGAGGGCTTCTGGAATTCTGACTCCACGGCTGGACCTCCTGAGGGCCCCTGGTATTTTCTGGCCCCTGTGTGACCCAGAGTGTTGGACTGGAGGGGCCATGGGCCTGATCCAACAGTGGCTTCTCTCTTATGTTCTTATGTCTGGGGCGAGTGATGCTCTGTATTCTTGGTGCTTGGGGTGGGGGGCAACAGGGGGGGGGGGCTTCTGGCATCCTGGCCCCACTGCTGGACCTCCTGGTGGCCCCTGGTGTTTTTGGCCACTGTGTGACCCAGAGTGTTGGACTTGGTGGGCCACTGGCCTGACCCAACATTGGCTTCTCCCTTGTGTTCTTGTGTTCTAAACAAGGGTCTGGATCACCAGGCCAAGAAACCTGGTCTGCTACCAGCAAGGGTCCCAGAATGCAGCAGCGCCATTCTCACCTGTAGCTCCGCCTCTTCCTGCCTCAGCATGTTGCGAAGGATCTGGGTGGCGTGTTTCTGGACTTCCGGATCCTGGCGTGGGAAGCAAAGCGGTGGCGGAGAAGTTGCCTTGGCCTGCCCGGGGGGGGGGTGTCTCCCCCCGCCCTCCCACCCCACGGAAGGAGGCACCTGCCCGCCATACCTGCAAGGGCTTCGGGCCAGTGATGCGCTGAGGGGGAGGGAGTGGCGGCGGAGGCGGCGGTGGGGGACACGACGGTACGACCTGCAGCGCCCCAGTCTGGTCTCCATCCTGCTGGGAACTCAGGAGGCCCGCGGAGGGAGGCGGGGAGCCCAAGAGAGTGAGAGCCACGTAAGCACCCGCTGGGAAGGGGGAGAAGACCAGAGCGACAGGGAGGGACTTTGGTCAGACGGGGCCACACGAGCCAACCCCCAGAGGCCACGTGCAGCAGAGAGGCAGAGACAAGGGTGGGAGGGGGCTCAGTCTTCTCACCGAGGATCCCCACAGACTTCTGGGAAACAACCCCTCCCTCGGCACACTCACATTTGATGAGTTTCACAACCTCGAGATGAGAGCTGTTGGCCACCATCGTCCCGTTGACCTGTCAGAAGGGAAAAAAGGAGAGTCATAAGAAGAGCCCTGCTGGGTCAGACCAGGGAGGGTCCATCCAGTCCAGCCTCCCGTCTCACGGAGCGGCCAACCAGCTCCTCTGGGCTTTCGTGGGCATGCACAGGAAAGCCGATACCCAGAATTAAACTCTGTTGGTGCCGCTGGACTCAAAACTTTGTTCTGATTCCCTGAGAGAGCTCATGGCACGGGCAAGGTTCGAACCAAGGACTCTCTTAGCCACCGCCCCTCCCTAGCAGCCAGGGGCCAGTCCCTGTTCGTCAGCCCTCAGGGTCACTGGGCGGCCTTGGGCCCGTCCTTCTCTCGCTGGAGCGCCCCCTCCGTCTGACGTCCTCCTCGGGGAAAGACACCGGCTGGCTGGACAAAGCTACCTCGGGGCAGAGTGGGCTCTGGGAAGGGGGGGGTCTCTGGGGTCCCACAACTCACTTTCACGATCCGGTCCCCTTCCTGCACCCCGGCCTTCATCGCGGCTCCCCCTGTAGAAACAAACACAACACACCCGGGGGGGGGGGGAGTCACACTTCCAACCTCTGCCTGGAAAGGACTGCAGAGGTTTAGAGACAGATTTATGGATTTTGCTCATTTAAAACGTCTACTGGATGCCTTTCGACCTGATGGGTAAAACGGCAACTTACAATATGACCAAAACAGTAACCATAAAAACACATTAAAAACGCAATTTAAAAATCACACGGAAGGACAGCCAATAAATAGAAAAAACTAAACTGATCAAAGGCCATCCTAAATAAAACCAACGGCCTCCTGAAGACTGACAGTGAGGGGGGAACAAGTATTCTGAGGTTTGCATCAAAAAAGAAGTTTTTGATTCTTCCCCTCGCTGGGGGGAATCGTCTTGTGGGAAGGGTCTTAACGGTATTATTCAGCACCTGTGTCGTCCCGGACCTGACTCAGTGCCCAGGTCAGGCAACCAGCTTCACATCGGCCCCATCCCGACTGAGCCACTGTGTTCCATTCAAACGTCACCTCCAGGCTGGACTACTGCAACTCACTCTACGTGGGCCGACCCTTGAGGCTGATCCAGAAACTCCAACTGGTACAGAACACAGCAGCACACGGGTCCTCACAGGGAAACTGCGCACTTCTCTGCGCACCAACGTATCTACGGGACCGCCTCTTCCCATATATGCCTCGAAGAGCGGCACGCTCAAAAGATCAACACCTCCTGGTGGCCCCCGGCCCGAGGGACGCCCGCCTTGCCTCAACCAGGGCCAGGGCCTTTCTCTGCCCTGGCCCCCGCCTGGTGGAACAGGCTCCCGCTTAAGACCAGGCCCCCCCGCGGGATCTCCTCCAATTCCACAGGGCCTCCAAGATGGAGCTGTTCTGCCAGGCCTTCGGCTGAGGTAGCAGGCGTCCACATACGGCCTCCCTGAGGTTGCTCTCACCCGTCTGTCACCTGCCCACTGACCACCGACAACTGGCCTTTAACCCACTGTACCACCGGGCTAGAAGGAAGGCCGAGCGACGAAGAATAGATTCTTTTGAACTAGGGTGCTGGAGAAGACTCTTGAGAGTCCCTTGGACTGCAAGAAGAACAAATCAGTCAGTCCTAAAAGAAATCAACCCTGACTGTTCCCTGGAAGGCCAGATAATGAAACTGAAGCTCAAATACTTTGGCCACCCAATGAGAAGGGAGCCCTCACTGGAGAAGACCCTGATGCTGGGAAAGACTGAAGGTCAAAGAAGACGGGGACGGCAAAGGATGAGACGGTCAGACAGTGTCATAGATGCAAAGAGCCCTTTCTCTCCACCTGGCCTTAATATTAACATCACCAGCAGCCGGATGATTAACAGCCTGGCAGGAGCCTGATGAGATGGTTAGACAGTGTCATAGATGCAACGAACATGAAGTTGAGCCAACTTCAGAGGACGGCGGAAGACAGGAGGGCCTGGCATGATCTGGTCCATGGGGTCGCGAAGAGTCGGACTCGACTGTGCGACTGAACAACAACAAAACCACCGGGCCAGAATTTTATAGCCAACTGACGCTGTTCCAAGCAGTACCTGTTGTTTTAGTGGTTATAATGTTTTATCGTGTTTTAATGTTTTAAACTGAAATTGTATTTATTCTAATAACGTTGCCTGCCCTGAGCCTGCCCACAGGATGGGCAGGATATAAATGCAAATAATAAACAAATGAAATCCGTCCTGTGCTGCGTGAGCCGCACTGGCTTCCGGTGGAGTCCCACGTCAGGTCTAAGGCTTTGGTGTTGACCTCCAAGGCCCTTAACGGTCAGGGACCTACGTACCTCCAGGACCACCTGGCACAGCCCCAGAAGAGCACTGTGCTCTGCCGGTCAAACCCTACTGGTGACCCCCTGGCCCGAGAGAGAGACGGGTCCGGCTGCCCTCGGCCAGAGCCATGGCCTCCCTCTCTGCCAGACAACATCCGTGCTCTCTGCGGGACGCGTTACAGCTCCACAGGAGAGCCTGCAAAGCAGAGGACATTCCGCCAGGCATTTGGTTGACGGTGGCAGATTCATCCTGGGACTCACCTCACCCCCACCCCACCCCGGTGAGATAGCGGCGTTTTTAGTTCTTTCAGCCATCTCAAGCCATATTTTTGTTTGCTATTGGTTTTAACCTGATTTTAATTGATGCTTTATTATGGTGTTGTGTGCCGCTCTGAGCCCGGTTTACCGGGGGAGAGCGGCCAAAAAGTCAAATTAATTAACTGATTGACTGACTGATTAAAATAAATAATGAGGCAGCTGCAGGCATCTCCTGGCTTGCACAGTCTACCTGGCTTGTTTCTCTAACCCGGCATCCTCCCGGGCCCACAGGGGTGTTTTAAATTCACCAAGGAAGAGAGTCGAGGGCCAGAGGGCAGACTCTGGATCTGTGAAGGCCACACAGCCCCGTGCTCCTGAGCGCAGGACTCCCACCGTTCCAAGGGCATGAGGCAGTTCTGCAGAGCGCAGGCTGCAAAGGTGCGGACTTGCCAGCCCCGTCCTTCCGGGTTCCTGGGAGTCTGGAAAACCCTGAAGTCGCCCAGAGTCTCCACTTGGCGATGCTGCCGCCTTCCCGCCCAGGGGCGCCAAAACCCAAACTGGGTAGTAAATGCTGCCCCCGGCAAATCACAGCATATCTTTCCCTGAATCGCTCTGTGCACCCAGCACTCTATTCCTGCATTGCCATTTAGAGGCACCAGCCAGTTGCCGTAACCACACCTCTGAACGTCTCTTGCCATGAAAACCCTACAGGGTGGCCCTAAGTCAGCTGTGACTTGACATGGGGGACGGGACCCCAAACCCCTGAGCTGCCATGCCTCCCACTTTGGGGCCAGTTTGGCTGGAGATCCTGGAGGTTATTTGTCATCTTCTGGGCGTGGAACGGCGGTCACTGGCGGTATTTGTGAATCTCCTGCATTGTGCGGAGGGTTGGACTAGATGACCTGCAAGATCCCTTCCAACTCTAACAATCTATAGCAATGCTGCGATTTCAAGCTATCAAATTCAAGGAGTGGGAGTTTGCCCGCTGCCCTTCCCTTCTACCGATCTTTGGATAGCAAAACCAAATAGGTGTGGTGTGTTTACAGAGATAAGTCTGCAAGCATTCAAAATATGAGCAAGTTTAATACACGGAACTGAGTTACGCACGGTGTCTTCCAAGCATCAGGCTGAGAAAAGCAGGAAACACCCAGTCCTCTCTAAGCCCTAAGCTCTATTCTGATCCTAAACAATGTTTAATTAGGTAGGCCAGTGATTCCTGATACTGCCGGATCATTACCCATGGTTCTCCCTGTTGTTCCTTGCCACGCAGGCAAGATGGAGTCCTAAGGAAAGACTGAGGCTGTGGGCACACGGCAAGCGTACCGCCATTTGTTCCCAATGTAGATCTGATCGGGGATATTTTTAAGCAGATTCAGATGATCACACATCCCTTGCCCAACCGCTTGGTTTGCGCGACAAGGCTCCAGGCACTGTCCAGACAGCCGCGCAGCCCAAATGGTGGCGCGGCACAATTTAAAAAAAACAAACATTATCTGCGCATGCGCACAGTGGTGAAAATCGCAAAAAAACCCAAAAACAAAATAATACCGGAAGAAGGACGTTCAAGCGACCTAATCGCAATCATTGCAAGAGATGGCTATCCAGATAGGCAAATCGTGGATTCAAAGCACAAGTGCCCAGAAAGTAGTTGATTTTCCCGGTGTTGGAAAACTCGCTAGGGAACCAGGAGGATCACGCAAGTGAGCCCACTTCGGTGCAGGAGGCGGATGTGGGCGTCTGATCAGCAATTTTAAATGCGAGAGGGAACAGCGGTGAAACACGATCAAAATGACCGTGTGACCACAGCCTGAGTCCTCCATGGCTTGCGGACACCCATAGGGAAGAGCAAGATGGGAGAGACGTCTTTCCTGTGTCCTGGGAATTTTGACTCTGCCCCCACCCCACCCCTCCAGTGTAGCTCGGATCTTCCTGCCTCAAAAAACAGAAAACCACTTAGCCGTTTGGCTGTCCAGGCCTCTGCCCCCGGTGATGTGACATCTTAGTAAGGCACCAGATGTTAACCTATTGTCCTACTTTGGCCAGAGACATTTGCAGCTGTAAGCACTGAAGCGTCCTGTGCTTGGGGTTGACAGCTCATCTCCCGGCCCCCTCCTGTCTTCCAGCTACAAGTTTGCAGCTGGGCGCCAACTCCTTCTAGGGTGACGGGCATTTCTCCACGCAGGCCCAGACTGAAGGGACCCCAGCAGGCACTCCGGGAGGGTCCCGGACATCGATCCAGAGTCAGCCTTCTGCCCAGCCCTGCTCCAGCGCTTCGCACAGATGGGCAGCATCTCCTTCAACACACCGGTAAGTCCTGGGGGGGGGGGCAGGGCACAGCCAGCCACCCCACAGCCAGGTTACACAGCCAGGCTCCCAGCAAAAGTGTGCCACACGGAAAGCAGGCCTCTCTCTCTCTCTCTCTCTCACGCACCCAGAAGAATCGTTTCCACCTGGATCCAGGTCCTGACCGGACAGAACCAGAGCCCCAAGCCCACTCCCACTCAGGCCTCTGCTCACCTGGCCGGACAGACTGCACCAGCACGATCCTGTCCCCGCTCACAGTGAAGCCGAAGCCATGCTGGTCTTTCTGGATGATGACGCATCGCTGAACCAAACCTTTGAAGAAGAAGAAGAAGAAGAGATTGGATTTATGCCCCTGGCCCTTCACTCGGAGTCTCAGAGCGGCTTACAAACTCCTTTCCCTTCCCCTCCCCACAACAGACACCCTGCGAGGCAGGCGGGGCTGAGAGGCCTCTGACAGAACTTGTGACTGACCCAAGGTCACCCAGCAGCTGCAAGTGGAGGAGTGGGGAATCAAACCCGGTTCTCCCAGATTAGAGTCCGCGCACTTCATTACGACACCAGACTGGCTCTCAAGGAGGGGGGAAAACACAAGAGCAAAACGTTTCGTATTTACGATTCAGCCCTCCCCGCGTTGCCCTGACAGCAACCTGGTGAGACAGGCCAGGCTGAAGGACTGAGCCACGGCCACATCCCACAAGTTGTGTGGCCAAGTGGGACGAGGCCCTTCCCACCCACTGGAGTCCCTCCTTCTTTCCACTGCAGGAAACAGTCCAGTTCCTCCACCCCTGCAGACAGGTTTATTCTGAAAACAGACTGACTCCCGCAGGTTTCCCCAACCCCTTGCTGGAGACCGCCTCAGTACCGTCTCTGAGAGGGGAGCAGGTGAGAGGAAGGCCTGCGGGGCCCAGGTGGGGATTTGGGCAGAGCCCCTAGGAAGAGGCGGGAACAGTGTCTT